ACAAGCATTTTTTTTACACCAGAGTCCAGAATTCAAAAATATTATATTTTGCTACAGTATTCTTTATATCTGAAAGGTAATACTCAAAAAGAGGGAATGAAGATTTGCAATTTTCAAGTAAATGTATTATTCACCACATAGTACAATAAACAAGGGTTAGTCCAAACGGCGGAGTCGTGTTCTATTGAACAAATACATCAATATTTTTTACTACTTGCTAAATGTTTTTCTAATGCGCATTTTTTACTATATACTAAAGTTTTACTAATAGTTCACACTTCTATATATTTTTCTATATCTTATTCATATTTAAATCCTATAATCGAAAGTTTAACCCGACATTTTGCTTTTCTTAGAACGACAACAGTGTACTTGAATTTTTTAATCTTCTTTGATACAATTTATCATCCGTATTTTCTCATTTCATTTCAACATATTTTCAGGTGAAAGAACAAATAAAGTTGATGTCGATGCAATTTTCATAGATTTATTGCTAATCAATTCAAAATAAATTTATAACAATATTACATGCCATTATATTTTTATACACATACATATAAATATGGGTTCCTAAATAAAACGTGTTGGGTAATGCGGTATATCTTATGTTTTTCGTATACTGTTCTCATTGTTCTATATCGCAGGTATTATGGTCAGTGTCACTCAAGCGCTGTTATTTTGATAGGAATTAAGTCCTATTAAGTTAATAATGGTTGTTATTTCAATAAGAATAATTCTAGAGCACTTGAACAAAAACTCGAAATGCTTAATTGCATGGGATCATATAGTTGCAAAACTAACGATTGCATGTCAGCCTGATCTCTTACATGTTTTGTAACGCATTCTTTTTAATAATTATACAAATCCACTTTTATATACCTCAAATTGGCTTATATAAAACGCATGTCATCCTTTGGAAACAATTTCATAATGTCATTTAATCCGAGCAGGAAGGAAACCGAAATTAAGTATATATACGAATGGTTCCATTGAATTATAGAGTGACTAGAATGTTTCACTGTTTTTCATCTCCCATTCAAATCTTTTCGTCGCAGTCTATTCGCGGGTAAATAAATCATTTTTAAGTTAATTATTTGCTTTGTGTGCTCTGTAAAATTTTGAAGTGTTTAATATTGGACTGTGATAAAAAAATGTTGAGAATCACTGGGATAAACAATTAATTTTCTAATAAACTTTTGAAATTTAAAATTAAGTGCTGATAGAATAATGAATTGTAACGTGATATTAAAGAGTTTTTAATCTGACAAAACATAACTATAGTCCTTTCTTACCTATAGATTTAACCCAATTTAAAATCAAAGAAATTTCCAGTTAATTTCGGTTATTATATAAATAATTATAAGCAAATATAAAGATAAGTAAATAGAAATGGAAAACTGGGAAAAAAAAATGGTGACTTAATTATTAAATTGTGCATAAAAGAATTCCAATTATTCTTGCTATGCTACATTAAAAAATTTATTATTCTATTAAAATTGTAATTCAATTATAGTAACCCCAAGGGGGGAATATACTTGGAACATAATTTCCAACACCTGATTTTTCATTACACTCATTTTAAACGGTTATTTTTCCATGAAGCTTTAAAAATATTTTTAACAATTTTTCAATAGAAGCAATTTAGAAAAAGAAAATTAGGAAATTCAAGCAGGAAATGGTTTTTCTTCTATATGTTTTTGCTTATTATCTCAGTCTTTCAATTCCCTACTTCAAATTTTCAGATAGTTTATTCAAAAATTTCTTTAATTTTTATAATTATTTAGTTTCGGGAAAATTATTGAGATTTCTTAGAATAAAAATTCACAATTTATTAACCATTTTAGAGATTTTATGGTAAAAATTGTTTAATATTTTCAGAAAATTCTAACAATTTGCTATAATTGCCTCCGTATAACTCCATTCTGGTCATTATATCATGCAATTATGCAATCCATTTGCATCATTCTATATTTTCTACTCCAATTTAAATACAAAACAAACCTGGCAGCATACTTAGTTAAACAAAAATTCCATTTCCATTTTTATTGGTTTTCCTTATTATTGGTTTTTCTTATAATGCCACCTGGATGAATATAACAAGCTTCTTTGGCCAATCAAAACAATTTTATTAGATAAATTTAGAGTGGTGGGTAAAAAATGAAAAAATAGCAATTGAAAAAAAAATTTTTTTACATTAAAAAACAAATGTGGTACCTACCTTTGCCATAATCAAATGCAGAAGAAAAAAATCCAATCTTATTTGTTTGTGTGTCTCCAAATGCAAAAAAAAAATTTAAATTCATGTAAAGTTGGCAACAAGAAAATCATGTATTTTTTTTCCTTTTACAACTTTATAAATTTATTATTTATATTGCATATGATTTGCACGGTATTGAATGGTGTTGCATATTAAAATGACTAGTTTTTACATGTAACTTGTCTTATGTATTGATTTCTCGATCAAATTCATATAGAAATGAAATTGTCATAAATTAAATTTGAATGTCAATACAAAATGTTCAATGGGAAATTTTGCAGTTACCAATCGTAAATCAGTGTTATTTTTTCCTCAAAAAAATAATTAAAATGTTGTATTTTAATTAGATATATTGCTAGATATATTGAGTATACTTAATTTTAAACTGACGTAGATGTACGAGTTTGCATGGAAATGCGAAAATTTGTTTTCGAACGCTTCAAATTTTTGATTACATCTGCGCAAATATTTTTGGTTATTTAACACAATGTTGATGTTTTCTTTCTCTAAATCTTTTGCTGATTTAAGATTTTGTCATATCAGCAATTATTTGCTCATCAAGGTTCAAAATGAAGGGTTTTTGTGAAAAACTTCAAAAAAGATTTTTAAAATTTTTAAATTTTACATAAGAATTATTTTCAATATTAAGGTTTTTTACTGCTACTGGTTTTATACTGTTACTGGTAGTTTTTGAGAATAGGAAATTTTAACACTTTTTCCCCTATTTTCTGAAGTTCAGTTTTTAGTAAATTTTTAATATTCTTCACTGCAATCAATTCAATATTAATCGATTGGGCACATTAAATAAATGCGCATACGGCATATGTCATTGTGTATGTGTCTGATTTAATTCAATTCGATTTGAAAGTTCAAAATATCACGATTTCAATTCGAACTACATTTTTCAATTGAAGATATCGGTACGTAAAGATGTCGGAGGGTATTTTTTTATCAAATCTTCAAAATGAAGATATTATTTAAAAATAAAGTTGGGTCAAACCAATGGTTTGTATTGTAGCACTTTTCCCTTCAACAAGTGAAAATTCTGCTTTTAAATACAGTCTATGTATACATATCACACTATTAAAATTATTTTCATTCATATACAAAACTATTCCAAGGATTGCATATATTTAGGATGAACGATTTATGCAGACTTTGAAATAAAGGAAAAATTAATATAAAAAGGGGTTAACATAATGCTCGATTTTAAGGGTTAATTGTGTGAGTTAAGGAAAATAATTATATTTTTTAATGTCATGGAATTTACCGTTAGCTTTTTGTGTTTATAGAAATTTGAAAAAACGTGCGATTTCGGAAATATAAGGTGTCAAAAATTCTAATTTTACAAATTTCAAGGGGCGATAACTTGAGAGGGGGTGGAGATGGAAAAAAATTTTCTTCTAACGAAATGAACTATTTGTTAATGTCTAAAAGCCCATAAATTTTCAAGCTTCTAAAAGCTGGGGTCTAGAAGAAAAACGACATCAAAAATTTGGAAAAAAAGGACTTTAGATAACGGTAAATTTGAACGGCCATTTTGTTTTTCTAAAGTTCAACTGTAGTATACCGCGCTAGGGAAAGCAAGCCGCTGCCTTTCTGCGTTTGCAAAATTTCCAAAATGCTTATGGTTTCATTGCAACAAATAGTTAAAAAAGGCCATTTTTAAGGTTTTGGGGGGGTATAACTTCTAGAGGGGGGGAGATAGGTAAGAATTTTGTTCTACGGAAGTGAGTTTCTAGTAAAGATCTATGTACATATAAAATTTTAGCTTTCTATCTTCAAGGGTGTAGAAGTTTTGTAAACAAAAAAAGTGTCCACGGACGGACGGACGGACGGACGGACGGACGGACGGACGGACGGACGGACGGACGGACGGACGGACGGACGGACGGACGGACAGAGTGAAACTAATAAGCACTTTTTTCAAAAAATTTTTTGGAAAAGTGCTAAAAATGAAGATATTTGGCCTATTCTATTTGGCAGTACTGATTTAGAGGTCAGATGAAAACCTAAGAGTAAATTGGAATTCATTCCTTTTTTTTTTAAGTTAAATTATTTTAATAAAATCGCCGCCGCTTGACATCATCAAAGATCTAAAAAGAGAAAAAGTTGCTTGCTCCCTCACAAGAAGCCAGGAGTTGCAAATATAAGTCGGTGAAATCTAGGTGTTAGAATCCATAAAATTTTATTTTTACGGTAGGTGGTACAGTATACTACTACATATACAAGTATTTATATTTTTAAAAGACGTCATACATAATAATGCATAACATACATAATATTTAAATTCAAATTAAATTCTTAATATTTTCTTATAAAATAATTGGCTATGTGTCATTCATAAAGAAAATTTAATGATTAATAAAATAAATCAGTTAAATGGCGCCAAAATATTTTTGTCAAAATACAAATACATTCTTATAAACAACCATATTAAAAAGATATGTAAACTAAGCTGATTCATATATGACTATTATGTTATAGCATTTATTACTTAAAGTTTTATCACTTCTTGATGTCATTATCTTACAAATATCGTAAACGACTTTCATACATACGCACGTAATATTTGAATTGTGGTTCTCTTGCTCTTATTTACATAATATTTTTAAATTTTTCTTATTATTTATTTAATTACATACAATGTATCTGTATTAATAATAAATTTTTTAATTAAATTTAAAAATTTAAGAGGCAATAAAAGTAATTATTAATTTTATTTACTTCTTTTTTCTTTCAGGCGGACGCTAATTCTCACCAAAAAAACATCTAAAATTAGAAAGTGTCTACAAACATACTTTTACAGTTAATTCCAAAATACAATATTAATTTTATTCCGTTATAATTGGAACTACGATAAGAGACACTCACTTAGAATACAAGAGAATTTTAGGAACATACAGAAGAACGTACGAATAAAAATTCACCTGATCCTATTAAAATTATTACAAAATTCTACTTTTATTCAATAAATATTTTTTAATATCAATATTATTATAAAAATAGAAAGAGAAAAAAAATTAAAATAATACAAAACCAAAATAAATAAATAAAAAAGTAAATATTTAAGAAGTTTTGAAAAAATCAACATCATTGCAAAAAAATAAATAGAAAATATATTCAAAATACATAGAAATAACTACATATATAACATTAATTCACAATAGAACCCAAAAAAGATAGTGAATCACAAGTTTTTAAAATGTAAACATTGAAAATAATAAAATAAAATTGAGAAAACAACAATAATTCTTTAACAAAACACAAAACAGAAAAAAAAGAGGAATTTCTAACAAGCAAATAAAAATATTAAAAAGCAAAAACCAAAACAATAATATTAAAATTATTGAAAGAAAGAGATAAAATATTTGATAGTAAACAAAACAAAAAAACAAAAAATAAAATTAAATAATAAAAAATTTTAAAAACAATAACAGTGCGCATGTCATACTTCTCTCTATCTCTCTCTCTCTCTCTCGCTAAAATTTTAATATTTTTGTCAATTCACAATAGTTTATATTAATTAGAGAAAAACTGAGAGAGAAAAAATAAATAACAAAAAAAAAATTTTAAAACTAAAACTTTTCAATATAAAATTCGAATTCGAAAAATCTTTATAGTTTTTGTTGTGTTTATTAAATAATATTGTATTTATGCACGTGCTATAATTTTGTGCACATGTAAACCAATACAAATAAATTAAAATAAATTCTTATATGAATCTATAATAGTGATATCATCATATCTCACACACTATATACATACTTGCAAACACACATAAATAAATTGAAAGCAATAAAAATTTAACAACAATATAAAAATAATAATCAGACATTTTCGAATATCAAAAAGAAAAAAAATAATAAATTGAAGAAGAAGAAAAAAAATATAACAAACATAATAATTGATGACGTAAACACACACATTCTCCTCCTTTACACAATTTTCGTAATATAGAGAGAAAAGCTTTTTATTAAGCTCAATAATATTTTTAAAATTACAACAAAAAAAAATCTCGTTTATTCTGTCTTGTTTTTTTTTTTGTTTGTTTCAATTTTTTTTTCTTTTTTGCAAATATTTTTCAAGTTCATTTCGTCATTACATGGCATTCTGTCTGTCATACACACACGTTCTATTTATTTTTTAGTATTCAAGATTTTTTAAATTTAATCAAAACTTTAAAAGAATATAAGAGAAATATTGAAAAAAAGAAGAACAAGAAAAAACAAAAAGTAAAATTAAATAAAAATATTTGTTTTTTAATTGAAATTAGAGTGAAAAAGATAGACTTAAAACTGAATACATTGAAAAAGAATTAAAAATACAATTTAAATAGGAATAATATAAAAAAAAGAGGTAGACTATACACACAAACATACATAGATACAGATATAATTTATATTTGTAATTATTTATGCAAACAAAATAAAAGTTAAAAATTTCGTAATTGCAAATGTATGAAAGTTTACGATATACGAAGAATGAAAGTTAAATAAAAATCGAAATTTTTTTTATAAAATATTTTCTCACTCTTTCTTACCAGACCGTCGTATATGTATTAAAAGAGAGCCAGCCATACATTCATATTGAATTTTAATACGAGAAATTTGGTTTATATTAAAACATAACTCTTTATCAGTTAAAAAAAAAAAAAAACAATTTTAAATATAACAAAAGCAAAACAAAAAAAAAAATAGAGTATTTAAAATAAAAGTAAACTTTTTTAGTATTTAATTTTTGTTGTTGTTGTTTCATTTTCACCTGTTTACCTTTATTATTATTGACATTCTGTTTTTTTTTCTTTTCGTCGTGTTATATTCGCTTCTTATTTATTTTCTTATATTTTATATTGTTTTTTCTTTTAAATACATACATACATACAAACATACTTACATACATATAATATTGTAAATTGTTTGTTATTCATTCTATATAGTGTTGAAAAGGCTTTTATAAATCTTCGTACAAATGAGTAGTGATTTTGCTTTCAGTGAAACAACACCGTTACGTCAGAGTGATTGTAGTAACGCAATATCATCGACGACGGCAATCGCGATAGCTAATTCACGTAATTCAAATAATATTACGTGTGATAGCGATAGTAACGGTATTCGAAACGGTAATAATACAAATACAAATTCTAATCCATATAATAGAAGAAATAATAATAATAATATAAATAATAATAATAATAATAATAATAACAATAATATAAATAATAATAATAATAATAATAATAATTTAATAAATAGTGCAAATAATATAACAACATCGGGTAGTGCAATAGGAAACGAAATACCAACACCAACAACAACAACAACAATTGGTACAACGGTACAATTAGAAACTGGATTAAATTCAAATCGTAACGGTTTTACAAATCGGATATTACGTCGGAATTTAAATAATAATAATAAAGATAAAATGGATACAAATCGTAAATTGGTTAGGAAAATTGCAATGGATTTTGTATTATTATTATGTGGTAAGTTACATTTTTATGATTTTTTTTTCATTAATTATTTTAGAAATAATTTTTCTGGTAAAATACAATTATTGGTGGAAATGAGGTTAATCCTCACGAATATATTATTACATATGAAAATTAGGCAAAAATTAATTTTAAATGAAGTTATGAATATTTTTTTTTACATTTTAATATTTTAACAATAATTTTGGAATTTTACCTCGAATAAATTATGTTGGTACACAAAATGAATAATAAAATTTTTTCAATACATACAATTGCGACACGTGTTAAAATTAAACATATATAAAAACATTTAAAGGTGAAATTAAATATTTTACGAAATTTGAGTGTAATCTTTGAATTTAATGTATTTTTTGAATTTAAAGTAATTAAAATTACATTTATGTTGGTGTTTGGCTAAAAATTAATGTTTTAAAATTTTGCATTCAATTTAGTCTTTTAAAAAGATCTAAATTAATTTTTAACAATTGCAACTGTGAATCCGAAAATGCATTTGTACTTACAATTCTTATAAAATTCAAATCATGAGAAATATACAATTCTGAAATGTTTATAAATAAATTTAAAGCAAAAATTAAATGTCTTTAGTCAGTGTTTCCACCTTAAAATATTGATTTCCCGTATAGGTACGTCAAACATTTCTTTAAATTTCCCAATTTTTTAATTAGTATTTCGAAATGCTCGCATATGTTCCATTTTTCTATATTTTTACAAAATCATATCTGAGTAACTATAATATTAATTCAAATATTATAACACTAGAAAATTGGTAAAAACCCATCAAATATTAAATATAATTATTTATTCGAAAGAAGTTGTAGTAAAAAATACCTACATACTTAATATTAATGTATTATCAGTTAAAATTTCATCTTTAATAGGACACGTATAACAGAATTTTTCTATTAACGTATTTAATAGATTTTACTAAAAGTATAATAATTTGAATTTCAATAAAATTTTAATCGTAAATTTAGTAGAAAATTATAATTATCTGTTTTTCCACATTAATAGACTATTTCGCATAAAATTGCGAATTTTCGAAATAATTTTAGAATAATCGAATTTAATCGTATTGATATTATTGCGGTAATTGGCATTTTCACTTGCTCCTTTCATATTAATTCCATAGTATAGCTAATTATCTAAATTATTTCTAAAAATTATTTTATTACTTCGAATTTTTAGGGTAATTTTAGGGCAATTTCATTTTGATAACCAAAATTATTTGTAAACTATTTATTTTACTTATAATTGTAATCATATCTTAAAATTTTGAATAATTTTCTTATAATTCTTAAAAATTTTTAAAATAATTTTAAAAATTATCTAAGAATAAAATTGTAAATTCACTTATAAGTAGTGAATTTTATTTGCTTTTTTCTATTATCTGCAACTGTTATACAAAATAAATTATTATAATAATGCATTTCTTAACACTAAAATTTAGATTTGTAATCGACCTTAATAATATATCAAATCGATTTTTAATGAACTAAATTTATCCTATATATATGCTAGTATATAGATAATGTATTATAATAATATGGTCAAGACTCACGAGACAAGTATGACAAGTGAGTCATAATACTCATAATTATTAAAATTCTTTCAGTGTTAGTTGACTATAAATAATTATATATAAGATATATATATGTATATATATGTATATACTCATAAAAAGTACACTTATATACAGAGCAACGAATAACTATACACTGATAAAAATGCGTTTTCTCTTTAAAATTCCTTCAATACAGCTGTGAGTTTTTGTCTACGTATTCACTTTTATTTTTTTATTTTTTTCAATTTTGCTTTTATTTTATTGTAAAAATGTCGAAAGCGTGTAAAAAATTAATTATATATATACTTACTTAACTTTCGTTATACATTATGTATAACACATTTTTGCTTTTTTTTATGAATGATTCTCTTTTGAAATTTATTTACAAAATAATTGTTGCTTACTGCTGTTTGTACAATGTAAAAAAATTTTTCGTATACAATACGAGATTACGTTATTTATTAAATATTCCGTTTCTTCAATCTTACGTTTTTTACGAGTAGTGCAATTTCATTAAACTTGTTTCAGTTTACCTTTTGATTTTCTTCTTCATTTGATTTTGTATAAAAATTTTACAATTAAATTAAATGTTTTTTTTTTTTTTGGAAATTATTCATTGCATAAAAAACCGTATATAGTGCAAATAATAATGCATGTATTAAAATGTAATTTTAATTAGCTTACATTACAGCTTTTGATTCAAATTTGATTTTTGTCAATTGGAAAAATTTAGATTTTTCGAATTTAAAAATTTAAGTAATAGAAGTGTGATTAATTAGTAATGACACGAACCATATACTAATACCGTACTATACACGAAAATAGTATATTTTAAGTATTTTTTTAAAAATATCTAAGAAGCAAAAAAATAAGTACACACTTGATATTATGCGATAGTAATGCTTAAATGATTTCATTCAATTTGCTAATATAGTTTAAACTACTTGCAATGTAAATTTATTTGACATACTTACTTAATTAGATATTGAAGAAATAATTTATACTTGACTGTGTTATAAAAAATTTGTATACCTACATAAAGATTTTGATAAAGTTTCTGATTATTTTGTGTTAAACGCTCCCAAATTTTTGTACCTTTGGATAATCTGCAATTACAGTTCTCTCTATGCTATGAGTTTATCCTTCCTTTGTATTGCCTTTTTTGTTCTAACAATATGAAGGTGCGCACGATATTATTGCCAATTTAATATTTTAAATTTGTGAAAAATCTTTTGGGTAGAATTTCTTAACCGACAATCAAGGGTCCAAACTCGAAAAAGAAAACTAAATTAAAATTTAATGAAAACATTTAATGAAAATTTATTTAAATATTTATTAATAATTTTTTTATATATATTTCCCGATTTCATTTTCTTGGAAATTGTCTTCGTATACAAATTACAGTATTTCATAATTGTTAAACACATGATTCATTTACTTTAATAATTAAATTAATATTAACCCAAGATATCACGATTGTTAAACTCTTATTAAATTTTTAATATAAAAAGGGAAATACGATATAAGCGGCACCTGAGAAGAAATATTTTTAAAAATAAATAATAAAAATTTGAAAAAAATTTAATATTAAACGCGGAACTAAAACAGACTAAGCTTTCGAATAAATAGATTTAAAAATAAAAATTAAAATCAACCGGATAAAATATGATGCTAACCGATTCTTTTTGAATTTGAATTATGATTGGCATAATAATCCCTCAACTTTCACGTACCTATACATATACACAAAACCCATGCTAATTTAATGTAGGTATTAGGAATTAAATTTATGATTTTTAAGTTTTATCTGCAATCCAATGATGTCATAAATGCGACCATTGATAATAATAAAAGAAATAAAAGAAATTATGTAATCACTTGCTTATTTCAGTACGTATACAAAGCTACCCACAACCAATTTGAATATTTCATACATTAAGTAATTTTATGTTTGCTAAATGCCATTTTATATTTAAATTTAAACTTTAATTAAAAATTTTATATCAACCCCATGCATATTTACGAAAAAAAAAAATAACAAGTACTTTAATTTAGACATTTTGCACGAAACGTTGCCAACTACACTATTACTCGTATTTATGATGAGTTTTAAACAAATGTGAGGGTAATTTTTTAATAAAAATGTTCATATTCATATTTTATATTTTTATTATTGTGATTCTTTTTTATGTTCCTTTAATATAACACGTGTCCAAATCGTTTAAAAAGATTTTCAACCACAATCAATTTAATTTTTTTTTTGTAATGTGCACTTTTAGCCGGTCTATTATAATTTTTTTGTACTCATATTCATTATGACTACAATAAATGTTAGCTGCTTACTTAGCCCCAAAAAAAAAACTCAAATAATTCTTTTGATTCAGATTTAAAAGCAACTTTGAATAGGTCACTTGTATTTACCGGGAATTCAATGTTTTCTATTTTATTTAACATTAAAATAGAATAAAATTGTAAAATAAAAATAAAAACATTAATAACAATTCTAAAGTAATATACTAGGCTACAGTTTTCAAAGAAAAATTAAAATTAAACTCAATGAATTCAATGTTCTTATAATTTTTGTTAAATTAAAAAATTAAAAGTGCTTTTGTTGTGTACGATTTAAATTTACAATAATTAATTTAAATCAAGTGTTTAAATAGAAAAGAAGAAAAATCATTCAAAATACTCAACATTTCTAAAATACACAATTCTAAAATACAAAAAACTCATTAAAAATGGAGAGTTCATTGTCAGAGAATGCATTTAAACAAGAAAACGAAAACAAAATAAGTAGTTTATTGTATTTTTTTTGTAATTATAGAAAATTAAATTGGTATTTTAAGAAAAATTGTCAATAAGTATACAAAAATTGTAAAATTTATTAATGTAGTTAACATGTCAAAAGAGAAAAATTGCATATATTAAGGCGTTCCACTTTTATATTATTGCATTAATTTGATGAACGGACCTTTTGCAGGGCACACTTAACAAAATCTAATATTTTATATTTTTTTTTGTATAATCGAGAGCATAGTTTTCGAAATTTTAATTATTCATTATATTTTTTTAGTTAGATGTCAAAAAAAAAGTCTTAATAAAATTGCATATTTTCTAAACCTACGTTGTGTACCTTGTTGAAGATTTCCAAAGAAAATTAAAAATTAACCAGAAAATTATTTTTTTCTAAGTAATCTTTCATGTATCTTGCAATAAATTTTATGATTTCTGTAATTTGACCTTAATCAATTTGCATATGAAATTGAACTAACGTAATTTTAAAAGAAATTATTAAAATCTTATTATAATGCGTTTCCTGATAATCAGAAATTCAATTTCAACTTCACATCAAATTATAAGTTTAGAATCAAATATCCTAAAATTTGAAAATATTGTTGAAAATTTTGAAATATATCATTTTAATCTTATA